CTGAGATCCTGGGGGTTCTCTTTAGGGGGGTGAGCGGGGTGTTCTGCGGGTCTGGAGAGGGCACGGGGCGCTGCAGGGCTGCGGTGGCTGCTGCGGGCTCGGGCCATGATGTAATGGGAGCGCTGGGGGCACGGCGGGGGCGAGGGGGCGAATCCCTCTCCTTGGGTGAAGGATGCAGCTGAGCCTCGTAGAACTTGACGTTGGTGTGCTGGTATATCACGGATTTCAGGCGGCTGCCCCCACCCCGGCTGGGTGTTGCTGCCAGAAACCCAAATCCAGAAAAGGAATTTCTTATTTCTTCAATAATCAGAGATTCCTCTTTTCACTTGTATAGGAAATACTAGGATTTCTTTTTTTCTGCTTCTTGTGGTTGACCTAGGAAGTCATCTTGTCGCCAGCCTTCTGGGTTTTTTTTTTTTGCTGTAGAGGTGCAGGGAGGAGGGTGTTGCTGTGCTCTGGATCCTGTGGGTAAGCGTTGAAGGCAGTGACAGCAGCTGCTGTTGGCTGTGGAGCTCTGGTTGCTATGAGAGAAGCTTCACTAGACTTGGCTGCTATCTCCAGGGAAGGACAGCAGAGCAGCCTCCATTAGTGTGGTGGTGGAGGGATGGCTGGCTCACGTTCAGCAAAGGGCTTTACTTTTCAGGCCGTTTCCACAGGCCCAAAGCAGAAGCAGGGGTATATTTTGGTCTGGTGGGACAAAAACCTCCAAGGTGGGTTTTGTCGCTGTTCTGGAGTTAATGGAATTGCATTAAAGTGTGGGCTGAAAACCCCAAGTTACCCTTTCCACATATTTTGGTCTGTGTGAAAAGTAGGACAGCGAGAATTGATATGATCTTCCTGTGAAGTGAAGGCTGCAGTCGTGTCTCTTTTGAACTCCAGCCTCCTTCTCAGCCAGTAACAGAGCCAGATGCTTTTCTTATTGTTTGTATGTCTCCTTCCTCCCCTTCCATCGCCTGGGCCCCACTTGCCTTATTGACTGGAATTTCTGCTGTGTGCAGTGGGTGTGTGCAGCAGACACCAGCCTGCTAGTGCTGAGGAGGGATTTTCCATTCACAGACCAGGGAACAGTCAAAATAAAGGCCAGGCTCAACTTTGGGACTGGAAACAGAAAGTGGGGAGAAGAGTTTCCCTCTGCTGCTTAGTGAAATCTATTCTCTGTGCTTCTTATATGCTTGTATGTCAAAATGTACAGAAAATGGTGCTCTGCTGTGGAATAGGAAGGTGAAACTCCTGTGAATAATGGGAAAGATTCCTCCCTTTCAGTTGACTCAAATGCTTGATGAAGGAACAGTTTGCAGGAGGCCATTTTTGACGTGACTCTGTATTGTGGAATCTGCCAGCTCCCATCCACACTCTGTCTGCCTGACTGCAATAGCTTCCTTTTTTTTTTTTTTTTTTAAAG